TCTTGTCGAATTTCATTTTTTCTAGTTGCAGAGCAATTTGCTGCGCGCGGAAAGTCAAACGCTTCGTATTTTCCATCACTTGCTCATGGACAGAGGTAGTTTTAGCGCCCATAACAACCTTTAAAATAAGTTGAGTAGCCATGAAAACACAAATTAAAAAACAAAGTTTCGTTCGAACTATTCGACATCATTTCTTGCTTTACATTAACTTTCATGACGAAAAATCACCATTGTTTTAAATAACAATAAAGCTCAACGTATCTAATTCAAGCAATGTCACAATTATACCTGTCCAAGTTTGGAGTCAATTTTAGCACCATCAATACGGTATGTTCTAATTAAATCAACAATCCATCTTTCTGCTTCTACCTGAAATATAGCTTTCGTAAAAGCAATTAAAGCAAAACTCTCTGAAACTTATTTCATGTTTTAGAGCTTATCCTATGAATGATACTGCTTTACTTCATAACACAGCTCAATTTACAAAATAATGAATGCATACTTGCTGCATGTTAAGACGTTCGGCAAGCATTTGTATCGAAATACATTGATGAATTCTGCAGAACATTTCAAAGATTAACAATCTGGCACTTTCTCGGAAATCTTCTAAGCAAGCGGTCAGGAAGAAATCATTTGATAAGACCTGAAACTACCGTACAATTTCTGCTTCTTTCGGGAATCTTTATTTCTCATAAAGCATTTAAAAAACTAACATCCTCGCATTTCCTCAGCTTTTTCTGCGCCTCGTCGAAATCATACTTAATATAGAGGCAAGTTAAGAAGTCTGTAACTGGATCCTCATAATTATGTCGTTCCTTGAATTAAGCTGATTAGTGATAAATCAGAAAATTAAATAATCGAAAACTAGTTGTTTGAAGAAATATGACAATCAAAATACGATATGATGAAATAATGAAATCAGTATAAGCCTAACCGCATTGCATGCAAAATTTATGAGCTCGAAACAATTTATTTTTGAATCATTAATTATGTCTGTCCTGAATTTATTATAAGAATGTTCCAATAAAACAACTTACAATATCAATTACTTTGATCAGATCTTTCAAACTGTTTTTCTGTTTCGTTTTGCTCGTCACAACTGCTACAGCCAAATACCGCAAAAGATGCGGACAAGCTATCTAAAGAAACAAACAAAAATATCGCTTACACTCTACATTTACAAACTCAAGAAAACGATGACTTGAACGTTAAAATTCTATATGAAAAAATTGTTTTAAGCGGAATAAGGAAGTTAAGAGAAAGAAACAATAACCGACATGAACAATCTGAATATTGCACGCTTGTGGATCACGCAAAAATAAAAAAATAGTGGCTGTATTATGAATGAAAAAATTTAACAGTGTAAAAAACAGAAAATGTTTCCAATGTCTCTCAGAATAAAAAAAAAATTAAAAAAACATAAGGCAATAAAGAATTACTTGTATTGTGTTTAAATACGACTGCTGATTAAGATACATCTCAACAATTTCATCACGTCCCTTCGGATAATTAAAATAAACGAATAGAGCCCAATGCATTAACCATGCACGCTGCTGCACTGATTCTAATTCGGTATCAAATGGATTAAAATCAATGTATGTTCGCAGTTTGGTCAAATCATCTTTAGCATGCGTCCATTCCTAGCAAAAGAAATCAAAATTTCTTCAAATTTGCTTTAAAGTTAACAAAAGCAATTGTTTTTTTTATAAAATGCAATTAATTCATCCAGAAAAAGTGAGAGTGATCCCGTCCTTTTTGATAAATGAAATAAAGAACATAGCCAAATATATTAACCATACCTGCTTATTCTAGTGTTTTAAACATTCTTAATAAAAATGTTAAAAAAAACCCGGACAACTATGAAACTGAAACTGTGGCTTGTTCAGAATTTCTGTTAAAGAATTTTTTTCTTTATCTGTTATATTATCACTAGACAGCTTCAGAAGTCTTAATTAGCACACTTACTTGCAGCAATATTTCGGAAGCCAATTTGCCATATAGTGAGCTCAGATAGTTTGGATTTTGTTGCGGTATAATATTACGATAGTAATCAAGACATAAAGATGCAGCTGAATAATTACCACATTCGTATTGGAATTTCGCGTAACGAAACAACGAATCAAGCATTTCTTCAGTAAGCTGAGAAATAATGAACTTTTTTAATGCTTATCAGCATCTAAGAAACATATCTATAACAAATATATGTCCTACATATATCCTTCATTTCTTGTTTCCTTATTCTTATTTATTTTTTTTATTAACGGATTTGTCATCCAACTTAACAAGATATTGAAGTCTTCCACTATTCTTTTCATAATGTTCCCAACTACTCACTATTCAAGCCTATGAATTGCAGCAAGCAAACCACATGTTAACCTCAAAAAAAAGTATGTAAAATTCCGGTTATTATTTATAAAATTACTCCATGATTTGCAGTAACATATTCAAGAATTCGATTATTCGTTAATTCATGACTGTCCATCATTGCTTTCACAGATTCTGATTCCAGAATTTCCACAACTGGATCTACTTTGACTTTCAGTTTTTCGCGCTGCAATACGATTTTCCAAGTTTATATCAAATACGAAGGTAAAGCACAATGCCGATCATGAATGACGAGAAAGAACCTTATAAAACAGAAATGTCTCATTACAAATCCTTTGAATAACAAGTTAACTGAAGTTAATTCAATATAAAAAACTTGACAATTTCGACAAGAGGCTGAAATTGTCAAATATAAAAAGCTAACGAATACCTGACTGAGAATTTCAACTTTTCGTTGCTCTAGTTCCTTAGGTACTTCACCTTCTGGGTATGTTTCAATTACGCTATCAATCATATTTGTTTTCAGCAGAACTCGACGATGCACTTTAATCAGTGAATCGTGGTCATAAATCTAGAAAAAGATTTCACTAGCTGAAGTGTATTTGGAAGAATGACTTTAACAAGTCACAAGCAACAATTAAATGTAAAGTTTAGGAAGCAAATGCATCATAACATCCAGCATGTGACATTTAAGCTGCTATATATAAACACATCTAAGGAAAAAAATTTGGAAGGTCAAAAAATGATTATGCCTCAAATATAAATGGTTCATATACTTATCAACACAAAAATGTGCTTATACCAAGTGATCAAACATCATTTTAATTTACGTTTTGATCTTTAAAATTGAATTGCACAAAATTTTGGAGATAATTGCATTCGAATTTCCAATAAAGCAAAATAATTTAAAACACTGAACACAAACACTTTAAAGTTGTTATCATAAAAAATTGTTTAAAAAATATAATTTGAAACCTAAAAATAACTTGACTTACATTCCTCGGCTCAATAAATTCCAACAATGGTATAACTAAGTGAAGGTCGAAAAATGGTGCCATCTTTTTAGTCAAGTCGTATTCAGCCATGCTGTTTTAATGCAGATATCTGGAAAGTTATAATTACTAAAATATTTAGATGAATTTCGAAAATTTCAAATTGGAGAAAATTCCAAAATTCCTTGAACTCCACTCCTGTTCGCTCATTCCCTACCAACCTAATCCCAACTCTCGATCCAAACTCTCCACCCTCGTACCTGAAAATTGCCCGGAGGTAGTCGATAATTGCTCAGATATGATGCAGTTTTCACGTTCCTTTGATCACCATGCAAATTTAAATTCCCACCGAAGTTGTTTTTGAGGTAGCATTCTGGATTAAGTCTTGTTTTTTATTGAACATGAAATAATTGAATTGTATTGAAGTCTTAGCTTGAAATCCTTTATCCGAAAATACAACCAGGAAAAGTGAAAGATCTTATATTTGATATATCGTCACATATGCATTTACATATTTATGAGTCACTCTGCATGATATTAAGTTATCATTGCGATTCATCTTTCGTAGTATCATGGAAGAAGTGAAATTTTCGTTTGACAAATAATTTGAGACAATATTCCCTGCTAATAATTACGTACAGAATCAGTGAAAAGTTTTCCTTTAATAATAGCAGTGATATCTTTTGGCTTTTTTCAATCCAAACTTTTGCAAATTCGACATTTCTGATAATTTTCCATCCAAATATTTCATTGTTCCCCATCAATTAAGTACTTATTCTAGTTATCTTCTTGGCTTGCTTTTTTTTTCGTTGAATTGTTTTTGGTGAACAATTTTCTCTAATGTCCTCTAAATTACAACGTTCTTTTTTCATCCATTTTTGATATTTCATCAATTCGAGGGAAAACTTTCAAATGCCGAAAAATAGAAGTTTGCTACAGTTAAAAACGAAATGAAAACAGTATAAAAGATTGTTAAAACTTGTTTACCAACATTTCATAGTTTACATTTACAAGAAATGAAATTTAGATCTGTAGTGCAAAAAAAATATGGACAAAATATATGAGATTTTGCAAATGAACGCACAGAAATATATTTTAGAGACTTTCCTTATTTTGCATATTAGTCAGTAATGAAACAAACAAAAAACACATTTGAAATTTCATACTTACATACTAAATGATTAATATGTAAGTCACAGTTTCTATTATAAACAGATAACATGTATGCAAGATGCTTCTCCCTGAAAATTCAAATCTTTTTCTTAATTTCTTAATAATTTTTTATGACTAAACCTCGATTTGCGGTTACTATTATCGTAATATATTCTTTTTTTTTGTTCCATCAAAGATATCTTTCTTCCCTTCTTACAAAATTGATAACATAAAGTTATGATATTGATTCAAATTCAAACTCTATTAAAGTTTATTTTCTGAATCAGAAAAAAAGAGATTCATTTTCAATAAAATGAATATCACTTTTCCGACTACTGTGCAAAGAATTTTTGAGAGGAAAAGCGAATTACTTTTAAACAAAAGTTTAGAAAAAAATTCAAGAGATTTAGCACTGGAATTTTGACGATTCTATTTTCTTTTAATCGATATCTCTTGGTATCGTATCAGCATATCAACCAGACAGCACAAAAGGGAAGAAATCAATTAATATACCAATTAAAAGATAAAAAATCAAGTAAACATAGTCCACATGCCAAATTTCTTTAATCTGAGCAACCTGAAAATTATTGTAATACAAGTAACAAATTTTCATGATCTGAACAGCCAGAAAACAATCCCCTAATCCGTATATGTCTATACTGCTAAATGCACCGATAACTTTAAATGTAAGTATACTTTTTCATTTACACTTTCTTGAATTTTATTTTTATCTGGAATAGCCAATCCGTACTTGTGGTAACAATTTTCGAGTAAATAAAATTTGTTGTTATATATTGGCAAAAAAAGAGAAAAAGTACTTTTGTTTACAAATTTATATCCAAATATATAACCAAACATAATCAAAAATTAATGTATTGTTTCAATTCTTTATATTAAATTTATGTATTGTTAAAATGCAGTGTATTAATCTGCATTACCTACCGTTCTCTTTAATTTTACCGTTTTGAGTATCCATCGGAGTATCCCAGCTGTAAGTAGTTTTCTGGCGATATAATTGGGATCGTTTCTGTGATGTTAGATTTGGCGTATCTGGTCGTTCTGCCCAATACAGTATTATTTCCTGTATGATACAAATCTCGAGTTATTTTCCCAATTACTTTTTTACATGTAATGAATGGATTTTTCAAAAAAACACGACAAAAAAATTGGACAGTTTAGCCACCGGTATTTTATATTCAAAAAAAAAACCCCCAATAAATACCCCAGAAAATATTTTTTGGAAGGTATATCATAGCATAATGATGTCTAGTTTAAACTTCAGATAGATTAAGATCTCTCAGATTTCATCATTACTCCACGATTTTGCAACAGGGACAGATATAAACGAGAAATAAAGAAATAGATGAAGAATAAGAGAAAATTTTTCGAGGGTTTGAAGATATGGAATAGCTATTAACAAACAAACTAGACTCTATGTTTCGCAAAACATATTTAAACTATTCTAATACTGCTACACCTTAACACTTATTTTAAACCATTTAAATGCAACATTGCCACCGTTTGCATCTGAAAGGGACACAAACCTTAAATTTTACTATATGAAAGTAACTGGAAATTTATAGTATCTGAAGATTTTGCTCGAAATGTACTGTTGCACAGAATATTGATTATCGCCAATCTTTTCTACCCTTATAATTCTAACTATCCTACTGATTATTCTATTTAATCCATTCTTTGCTTCAATGATTGTATAGAATTTTGAGAGAAAAATTCTAGGAAATGAAAAGTAAATGAAAAATTGAAGTCAGGTTGAGTGAGGCACAATAAAAGAAATAATGACCTGATCACTTGGGCAACTTTTCCGAAACGATTCCATAGCATAACCACGTTTCATGTAACCCCATAAATTCTGTAAATTGGTCGGTATTTCGTATTCTTTCAATGCACCTAAGGCAATTCGAATGGTATGTAATTTGGGTAAAATATAACAATCCAAATGAGTTAAATGATCAGCTGCCAGAAATCGTGTGCTTATAGTATCAAAATACCGATCCAGTCGTATCAATTCCATATTCAGGGCCTGATAATAACAATAATATAGTGACTCCTGATCTTTTGCTTTCGGAAGTAAGTAGATCTCAATATGAAAAAATTCACTTATATTTAGAACATTTGAAAAAACATCGCTGAGTGCAGCGATAAAAATTTTTAGGCTTTAAGAAAAAGGGGATTCCCGAGATTGAAATAAAAAAAATCTGACGTACTTTTGGATCGGTATTAACTTCCTTGATGAAAAATGCGAAGGAACGGAAAAGATTTGCAGTAGCATCAGAAGCAGCGGAACATTCGCATTTCAATGATGGTATTGGGAACTCCCGATCGATGTAATCAATAATTTCATCCTGATGAGATAAGATTAAGTCATCACCGTGTTGCAACGCCGGGGCATGCCTTAGACCAACCTGCAAATCGACAATTGAGATCATACTTGGTTTTAAGATTCCATGTAATTTCAAAACCATCTTTCATTGCTATTGAAAAGGATACTAAACAAACTTTAAACTAGATTGTGATGGGTTTGCAGAAATTTTCGGAAATAAATAACATGAGAAAAGTAAGCTACCATTATTTTAATCTCCTGAATTTGATAAATTGCTTGCTCAATGCTCCGGTAAATTTGCAACTCTGATAATTGGAAGTCAAGAGTGAAAACTTTATAAGAAAAATCTCGGAGGACTGACCTACTGACCCATCATTATTTGAATTACATTTTTATATTTTTTATATTCCTGATGTCATCTTATCCTGAACCTCAGATAATTATCAAGTAAAAGATTTTTTTGTAAAAAAAAGTATAACTTTGTAATCTAACGCGGAATTCTTCTAGTCAATTTTCAAAGTGCCAATTTCCCTTTTCCCTTCTCGTTATATTGTGTTTACATACATCTATGCACAACTAGAAATTGAAAATTTCTTGAAGATTTCAAGAATTAAATTCATAAATTAGATAGAAAAGAATCCACCTCACGAAATTCTGATGGAGGTTTCGCCTCGTTGACTGTTTTGACACTGAATCTATAACATTGAAATCATTTTTGAAATACTTTAGTACGTACTTTAACATGTTTTAACACTCCATAATGATTATTGGATCGTTCAATGACCAAAATATGAGATGGTATGATCTCTAAACAATCATGTTTGTTGGATAACAGCTTCTCCAAAATAGATCACAGTATCGCTGATCAAACCGTTTCATTCAATTTAGATATGATAATAACATACATTAATTGATTTGAAGCTTTCTTGATATATATACTTAGTGATAATACCGTGAAAAAGAAAGATATCTCAGAGAGAAGGAAGGACGAGGGAAAAGTTTGTCAGGATAGTATTAGCTAATAATATAATTTTATTCATTGAAATTAGATGAATTTGCATAAAATGGAAAACTTGCATGAGATCAGAACCGGGATGAAGGCTTTTCTCGATTAGTATCATAAAAATTTGATGACATAACGGATCACCACCTAAGCGTATACCATCTGATCCTGCTTTCACCCATAACACAACTGGTTCCATCAAACTAAAATTTGTGGAAAAAAATGCAAATTTTTTTTCAATTTGGAAAAGGAAAACCAAAAATCTGGAAAAATATTCAAATTTTTTAAAAAAAAAACAAAAGTAAAAGAAGGCAATGATTATATAGTGGAAGGAAAAGTATGCATTATACTAATAACATTCATGTGACCTATAACCTTTCCTGCAAACATGTTCGAAAATGCAAATACTTAAAAAAGTTTACCATACTAAAAGTGGCAAAATCTTGCGAATCAGCTAATCTACTCAACATATTCGAAAATGTTTGAAATGTCTGCTGTTTGTGTTCACATCATATGTGTACGTGCATACGTGTGTGTCCTGTATGTGTGTATGAATGAGTATATGTGCTTGCATATAATATGCACATATTTATATATGTATATGTACGTGCGTGTACACGTGCACGTCCCTCGTGTGTATGTATGTGCGTATATGTGTGTATGTGTGTATGTGTGTGTATGTGCGTATGTGTGTTTATGTGTGTGCGTGTATGTGTGTATGTGTGCTTATGTGTGTGCGTGTATGTGTGTATGTGTGCTTATGTGTGTGTGTATGTGTGTATGTGTGTTTATGTGTGTGCGTGTATGTGTGTGATAGAGAAGAAAGGAAAAGGAGGGAAGAATGAAACGTTGTAACAAAGAAGATTTGAGTACGTTTGGGAATTTTTTCAACTAAAAGTGCAAATTGAATAATGAACGCACGCAGCTGAAGTTATTAAACACCTTTCCATTTCTTTTTTTTTTTGTTTCAAATCGATTCTTAGAAAATAACTAGCAGATTTTTCAAATCATCGAAGATTAAAAAAGAAAAGCAAAACATATATGTATACATAAAGAAAAATGAAATAATAAAATCTAGGAAATAATTTGAAAATTTTCGGATAAATTTGAAATTTATGAAAGAAAAAAGAGGAATTTGAGATGTTACACTTGAACATAACGTTGCTATGTGTCATAATACGTTCTAATGCGGTATGTGAGAAAATTGAAATTTTCAGAAAAAATTAAA